AATGTATTTTATCTCCTACAACTCCCCCAACTCTCACTTCTGCTTAATGTCTCCTAGCTAGCCAACAACCCATCTGTAGTACTAATAACTCCTGCCCAGAAGACCAAACTTCACAGAGATCCTGCACCCTGCAAGGGAGGCATGGGCTGGGATAAACTGATGTGATCAAGGTCACTCACAAAGTCAAAGACAGATCTCCTGAGATCTCATCACCACCCCCCACTGTTCCTTCTATTGGGTGTCTTAGGCTTTATTTTCCTTCTAGAGTTGCATGAGAAATGGCATTTCATATTCAGGTGAACAGGGTTGCCAGTTCACCTTAATTAAGCTGAATAATTTATATTCACTCATGGCTGGTGAGTTGCTGATATCTTTCCTTAGGCTAAACAGAAAATACTCTGAGTCTGGGCCTTCATTTCCAAATAAAAAGAAGTTCAAATATTCAATTCCTGCTTAAGTCCAAGCTCCTACCTTGCATACCTGTGCTGGATAGCATTTCCAGGGTGAGATTTGCCTAAGCCCTTTTAAATAGCCACTTTAGGAGAAGGCAATCACACTCTAAATGCCTTTTTCTCTCTGCTGACTATAGAAGTCAGATCTCCACATTGTGTTGGAAATGATGGGAGAGGATTTCAAGTCAGAGGAATACACATAGTGGTATTTGAACTTTGATTCCTCATAAACAGTTATGTCCGTGGGTTATTCGGGTGACAAGAGAGGACACAACACAGGAGAACCTGTGTTATCTCTTGCCAGCCACTGATACTCTCACCTGCTCAGTACTTGGATAATAAATTTCGACCTCCTTAAAGGGCTGAGCAGAGTTCAGTATGGTTTTGAAATGAAGCTTTCTCCCAAAGCACACACGCTCTAGCACTGTATACCCGGGCCACAGAAACTTTTATCCTTGTATCACCTGTGCCTGTATCAGCAGCCTCAAAGAAGCAGCATATATCTGTATATGTATACATATATATACACACACACATACATTTATCTCCTTATGACCAAATCTGCTTGCTCATCTCACACGTGCAGCTCTTTGGGGGTTACTCACCTGTGTACAGTAAACAACTTTGGGATTGCAATGTGGATACAGTGTAAAATTTATGCTGAGTACATACTGTTTTGTTTATACTGTTTCATTTATTCATAGGATCTTGCACAGCACCTGCCACAAGGGAGTAGGCAGCTAAGAAGCATTCAAAGACCGAGCTCCACCTTTGTTAGCATTATTTTCCCTGCAGAAGAGATGAGGAACAGGTACGGAGCAAAGGCACGACAAGGACAAACAGGGAATCTGTGGCAGAGCTTGGCAGAGATCCCAGATCTTCTCATTCACAGTTCACCTAGCCTAACACAAGCCAGCCCTTCCTCTGAGGCAGCAGATCCCAGAGTATTAGTCATGACCTAGACAAGCAGGGTTGCAAACCCAAAAGGATTTCAATTGCAGAAACGTGATCACGAGCTGACAAATAGGGTGCCCAGTAAAAAGTCTGGCAACAGCTACTTTTGTGGCTTTTTTATATGACGAAGCTTTTAAAACTTCTACCACTATAATATCTTGAACAGACACTCTCGTACTGCAATAATATTACATAAATTATACTTAGAGACTGGTATTGTGTTGTCTTAGATTTTCTTTGGGTTTTTTAGCATCTGCAATGCCTGGAGGAAATGCAAGGCGCTTTTAATCCTGGGTTAATTGGGATCCTTCTACACATGTAACTGGCCTTCAAAATGTATGCATTTCAAACTATATGGCGAAAAATTCCTCATGAAAATGAAAGGATAACTTCCTCTGGCCTTAAGTATGCTTTCATCTCCCAGCAGTGACCTTGACAAGGATGGTAAGCAACCTTATGACAGACATTTATGGTATTTATTACAGCACAACAAACAATGGAAAATAATCGTCCCCCAATATTTTTTGAACGCATCAGTGATTCTGATCCGACAATATTCACAACCCATATTGCATTTACTTTCAATGAACATTTGAGCGGTTGTGTTTTACAAGTGCAAATACTTGTGAAAATGTAATTTTAAGCTTCAATGGTCACTGAAAGCCAGTTTCAAAGCCAGTCAGGAACAGAATGATGTGACTTATATAACTGATGCATCACAAACTGGAACGATTCACAAATGCTTGTCAGACAAAGAATTACTCACTGGACAAATAAACAAATCGTTTCAACACACAAATACTACAAAGAATTTTAGAGCTTGGTCAAGAACCAGAAAAAGAGGAAGATTTAATTAGTAATAAAATGATCATTAAGCAGTGATCAGCCTAACTTCCTCGAGTCTCGAGCCTCAGGCCCTGAGCCTGTGGAGTTAGGCATGGGATATTCTGTGAGTTGAGGAGTTCTTTGGAGTCTGAAGTTACTCAGGGCGCAGAGTTAAGCAGGGACAGCAATCTTCCTAGAATCCCAGCCTTAGTCAGTTCATGGAGACTAATCCCTTCTAGTCTTTAAAGAGCTCTGCAAGTGCAAAACACCTGAGAAACTTCTTCCCCAGCCATACACGGCACAGGCAGGATGCCAACATCAATTCCCATTAACAACAGAGGTTAGAAGGATACATCAACATGCTCTTTGCCAAGCAATCAATGTAGCTGACAGCTCCCTGGGGGGCTGTGCCCTTCATGCTGCTGCACTGCCCATCTACCAGCAGGAAGCGATGGGGGCACACAGATCAGGGTGCATCTGCCCCTCTCCTTCTCCTCTGCCTAGCCACAGGCTTTCAAACTGCATTTGCTCTGCAAATGAATGCCTCATCACACCTCCAGTCAACCAGTACTGCTCCTGTTGCTTCAAGGGATGGGGTCTCACGTTCTCATCTCGTCTTCCCTCCTACCTAGAAAAGCTTAGACCATGCTTCCATGCTTTCTAAATCCTCCATACAGCAGGTAATCCTGTCAACATCTCTGCAGTCACTGTGACTGGATGGACTGAGCCCTCTTGACTCCTCAATGCACAGAAAGAATACTGGATGGATCTTATCCTGGCACCAAAGTAGTGACAGAGCCTTCATTTCATGCACTTAGTGAGGCATGGGCTTCTCAGGGATATGTTGTCATCTGGGTAGAAGGCAGTTAGTGAATGCACCACTGACTTGGAATGAGACTCCCATTTTTGCTTGAGCTGAACGTAACAGGAACTAAAACCATGGTCCTGCTTCTGTTCATACCTGGCTTTTATGAACTCCTGTTCCTTAACGTCAGTCCTCTAGAATAACCGCCTATACTTTCAGAGAGAGTCTCAGCAGAATACAGTAATCTTGACTTACCTAAAAAGTCACATGCTGTTACAGAGCTCCTGCACTGCTCTTTCTGCATGGTGCACTTTTCAGTGGAAGGTGAAGAAATGCCTTATTTATAGATAGGGATTTCCACAGGGTCTGGCAATTTCAGTATGGTGTACATAACTCCCTTAGGCTCTTTTGGGAAATTCCAGACAAAGAGTATTGGGCACAATGCAGTTGGAAAGTGCTATGAAGATGGTATTTTGCACTAGCAGAGGATGCAAAGTTGAAAGAACAGGCAACTCTCAAGTCTGATTGCCAGGGAAACAAGGGTAGAACTAGGATTTTCAGTGTACAACTCTGAAGGTCTCAGCCTTTTATATGGCACAGGGACTGCTGTTGTCTCAGGTCATCAGAATGGCAAAAGGAGGGGAGGGCAATGCCAGAGCTCTGCACTGAAGGGGCTGTTATTCCAGTTGCTCTGTGCCACCTTCTGACCTTATGTTGACATTTTGCAGCTGTCTCTGGAAGGGAATTTCTCCTCGGGGAAGAAGCATGTGAGTTTTTTTATGCTGGTTCAGAATTTTCCAATAATTTTAGTTAGGGGTGCAGTGGCACACAGAACAAAAGACAAAAAGCACAGGACGCCCTGTCCACCTGTGTCCAGTATATATATATCCTGTATACTGAGCAGCACTGACCACTTAAAACCCAAGAATTTGAGATAAAGTCAAGCTGGCCCATCCCAATGCGTCTGACATTACATTTTCTTAGCAGCTTGTACAGTCTAATTTAAATAACCCAAGTGATGGGACTATTGCCACTTACACTAGGGCCTCATTAGCGTGGCCTTTGCCAAACTTTACATATTTAGCTCATAACCTTTTCCTCAAGGGTCACACTTTGCGATTTGCAGCAGGTAATGAGATGCACAGAATACAATGTTCCTGGCATGAAAAGCCCCAGAGGCACTGCACCCCTTGCTGGGATGCCAGCTTATTCCCTACTCCCCTCACCCCATTATCCTCCTTGCCTTCTGCATTGTACTCAGACCTGCACTGACCTTTTTGATTCTGAAAAGCAATGAAAATGCATGCAGTTTTAAGAAATGTATAATAAGACGCTAAAGTTGTTAGCCTGGGACTCTGAAATGCTTGGTGCTGAGCTCTTGTAAGACTTCTTGCATGACCTTGTGTAAGTCACATAATCTCTCTGTGTTAAACGTCTCTGGTTGTGACCAAAGACTGTTATCCTGGTCTTCTCTAGTTAGATGAGGATGTTTGCAGCACAGGTTATGTCTCCCACAGGACAGGAGAGCATCCAGGGATGGGTCACTATGAGCTATAACAATCCAGTAATACTCTTTGGTTAACTGTGTTTACTTTGGGCTGGAAGGTTAGGTTTTAATCAACGGTATCTTTACACATTCCAAGCTAAAATTCAAAATCTAATTAATTCACCAGCACTGCCCTGATGGCCTCAGATTGCAGATTTTGGCTCTTCAAAAAAAACTCTTGGACATGTATGGAAGCAGGAGCCAGCAGAAATGTGTATGCATAAGACAGAAAGAGAGCGAAGGATGTGGATTTAACTGATCGTGAATGGGGCTCCTTGCAGGAGCTGAAGTCAGGAAAGGAGAAAAACTGGGATCTCCTTCAGTTCACGACTCCAGCAAAGGAGCTAAGGACCAAGTCTGGAGATGGGGTGCGAGGGCAACAGGCAGTGGGAAGGAGACCCTCACACCTCCTACTTACCAATTCTGTCCAGCCTATCAAGAGCCACGGTTTCAAAAGCTCGCCGCATCATGGGATACTCTTCCAGCACCTCGTTGAAGTTGTCCACGGAGAGGGAGTAGAGCCGGCAGTAGGTATCAGCTCGCACGCTGGCTGTGCGCCGGCCACGGGTCAGCAGGCAAATTTCTGGAATGAAAGACAGCCTGAGAACATGGGGCTAGACTTCATCACAACTGTGATACAAGACCTGGCACTGTCACTCACAGGCAGTCCTGCCTGCCACCCAGTCCTTTCTAGCTGGACTCTACCTGCTTTCCCACTGAAAATGTGAACAGTGGTGGTATTCTGCATACGCAGTAACATTTAAAAAACCAGGGGGCTCAGTTGTGGCAGCTGCTGCCCACAATCACACCTCAGGGATTCTGCTGTTCTAATTAGCCAGACAAGTTTTGTTACGGTGGATTATCAAAGATATCATTTGTGCATTCAGACTGGAGAAGATGTCTTTCTCCAGCTCCTCATGGGCACTGGGAGCAGAAGGTCAAGCTGTGCTCTCATTGCAGCTAATTCTCTCTCTAGAGGTGTAGCAAAGGCTCTATGCTGACCTGTGGCTTTGGTGCCTGGTAGTAATTTTGATACCCACAACATTTAGCTTTTCAAAGTTTTCAAAGTTTTTTGTAGATATGCCGCAAGCTTACAGATTATCAGGTGCCAAGTTAGTGGCACCTACTAAATCTTGGGCTATTTACACTGCAGTCTTCTGTTCCTAGGAGGATGCTCAGCTAGTTATAGAACAGAAAGCCCTTGACTGTACCATAAATGCCTGACCTGGGCACAGACACTCCTTGCACACTCAGCAGAGAGCTCCTGAGTCCTGCTTTTTCACTTACTACACAGAGTATGGGCAGCTAAGACAGGCACTTAAAGACAGATGGTGTGACCTAAAGACTGACAGCACTCTTCTCCGTGCTGTATGTTTGGTGTCAATCCACCAGCACCACACCAAGGATACATATTGGGTCTACCCCAAAGCACTGGTATAGCAGCACTACAAGGTTATCAGTGCGTTATTAGGCTGCTTTCCTAAGGAAATCATGCTTATGAGACTATACCATGTATGTGAGGAATTGTGTGTATGGTATCTAAAACACATGGAATGTCATGGGCAATTTTAATCAAATCTGTCAGAACCAGGTTATCCTGATTCCAAACCTGTAACTCCAAATCCCAGCAGACTGACCCAACTCACTACAGGCATGCAAAATCCATGTACTCCAGGTATGTGCACACAGGTTATTTCACAGGAACTATGAGTCTAAAAGAAGAGTGTAGGAATGCATTATAGGGATTATTTAAAAGAGAAAAGGCCTCAGAGAAGGGAAGGAAAGGCGGGTTTCATTCTGTCCCCTCTCAGTAGGCCATTAATTGTGGTGTACTCAGTGGTTGTTCTGAAACATGCATTTACCAGAGAACTGTCTGTCTGGGGCTGTCAGTGAGCTCTCTACGGGGTCTGAGAGGAGGGGTGTCTCTGTGCTATTCTTAAGGGCAATATCCTAGATCTTCCCTTACAGTTTTGTCTGACTGCATGCTAGCTTCACTGTTCCACTGCTCTGCTGCTGATACATTATGCCTGCCTGCTGACCTTCACGACATTTTTCTGAACCACAGACTGGGAAGATGATGGACTATGTTTTTTCACCTGTGTTTATCCAGTACCTTGTATGATAGATGTCAGACAGTAGGACTAGGCAACATTATAAATGTGCTTGGAGAACTGAGAACACTACATTTTTTACCATTAGGTTCTCAGCTTCACAGATCTATCTGTCTGCTTGGGGCAAAAAGAAATAAACCTACAAGAACTAAGTTTCCCTTCTCCCATTTTGTTATTTATTATCTAGACTCTTGCACTGCCCATGAGTCCCATACACCTCCCACTGCACAAGCTGGGAAGCTGCCAGAGAGATGAACAGAGGCAGAGGGTGAAGGAAGAGGTGCCTGAGGTACAGTTCTACATGCTGCCACCCCGGTGTGTCCACGGAAGGTTAAGGAACGTATGGGCAACAGCAGTGTGTGTCGTTGTGTAAGGAAGACTGACTAACACGCACCTCCAAAGTAGGAGCCATCTGCCAGCTTGGTCTCCTTGTTGCCTTTGGTGAGGACGCTCACCACCCCGTGCTGGATGAAGTACATCTTCTTGCCAATGGTGCCCTCCCGGATGATGTAATCCCCCGGCTGAAACACCTCGAACCGCAACTTGGTCAGCATGGAGGTCACAAAGTTGGGATCTGCGTTGGCAAAGAGGGGCATAGAGGCAACCAGCTTCCGGCAGTTGAAGTTTATGATTTCCTGACCACGATGTGATGCAAAAGAGAGAAAGAGGAAGAGGGAGAGAAAGGGGGGAGAAAAGATGGGACAAGGAGCAGAAAAGACACACACATATGTTTAGTCAACATCTAATGACCTATGAAGATCCCCCAACTTGACCTGTACATTACAAAGTGGAAAAACACAAAACCACCATTCCCCTAGTCTGCTGGTGCAGGCTGGAACGGGCTCTGGGTGCTCAGAGCATGTAGCAGTGACACCCTGACACCACGCTTCACTGCTTTCCTTCATATGCTTTCTCCCTGAGCAGGGACAATACCCCCCAACCTCCCAAACACACACAATATATCTCTTTCTGCCGGAAGGCTTGGGCTGTGAGAGACGTGCACAGCACTGGTGAAACGCCGTATGAAAAAGCCCAGGGGTCCTCTCTGGGAAAATGTTGTAACTCACCTTGGCAGCGCTATGTTCTCTGCTGCCCTTGCTTGTCAATGACATATTAAACAGCACAAACGTGCCAAGGTGCTCAGAGAAAGAATTATCCTGGGCAGATGGGGACAGTGTCAAGAGAGGGTAGGGAGAGGTGCCCACCAGTCACTGGGACACGTGCTGGATCATCAGTCTCAGGTGAAGAAAACTCAAGTCAGCTGTTAGGCTGTCTTACAGCAGACAGGGACAGTGCCTCCTCCTGTGGCTTGGTGTCACTCGGAAGGTATGACAGCACTTTCCACTGCGCAGGACCTGCTCTGTGCCATGTCAGCTCAGACACAGAAAGTGACAAAAAGTGATACTGAGTAAATCACCTCAACACAACACTCCCCAGCCAAGCAGGGAAGGAGCATCTGGATGACTGGGGCAGGAAGAAAGAAGGCTGGGGAAGCATCGGTCTCCTCCTCACGGGCATTCTTTTCAGGGTTGCCCTTTGAGACTTTGGCAGAACTAGGCTTAAAATATGGCTGGGAGAGCCTCAGCTCTTCTCTCTCCTATGGAGAGAGCAGGGGGGGGCAGGAAGACAGAAGGAAGACTGCTTCTAGGACTTGTGGGTAACAAACTGGAGGCACATACTAGGGAGAACCTGCATTGCTAGGCTTCAGCTAGGGAAGGGGTTTTCTGTAAAATCTCCTTTGAAGAGTGGGCCCTGCTAGAAGACGACTCCTTCCTTTGGCTCTACAGGCTGTTACAGCCGATGCATGAGGCACAGATGAGGCCAGCACACCCCATACACATTTATATAAATACATGATATACAGCTTAATATTAGGGAGTGCAAGGTGGGAGCTTACTGAGATGCCATACCAGGCAGTGGTGCATCTTTGTGTGGGGAGGAAAGGGGGCTTGCAGAAGCATGAGGTAATAGCAAGGCACTTTCCAGAATACTCTGCTGCAGAGGCTCTTTGGGAAAGGGGATGACATTGCCATGGGCTCAAAAGGTGCAAAGATGTACCTATTTACATTCTGAGTGGGTGGCAGGGCCTGCATATTGCAACCCCCATCACCGTTATGTCAGACATCACTTGTGCTGCAGCAATTAACACTCAGGCAGCAGTTCTGCAGGTACTTGGGTTTCTCTTTCCACAGCAGTGACTTCTGCCGTGACCAAGGCAAGAGAATACTAGACACACACCAATGCCTAGGACAGTCACTCCTTCTGAATGAAACTGTCCCCAGCAGAGGCTTAGCTGTGGACCATGTTATTCTTGGCCTTGCTCTCCCAGAAAGTTAGGCACAGTGCAAGAACAGGTACAGCTCCCTGCAAAATGGGGCTTTTATGGCTGCTAAGGCACATGGATGTGCTGTCTCTACTTGGCATGACACTAGAGTATACACAGAGCCAGTGCTAATGGGAAAGCTGGTCTCCCACTACTCCCATCACCTGAAGGTGACCTCTGCAAAGCACCAGGACAGGACACAGCACACATAGTGCTCCACAGCTGCCAAAGATGACAGGAACATGCGCTGCCTATTCACTGCCCTCTACTTACCTCTCGGAGGGGCTCACTCAGCTCTCCCAGGATGCTCTCCTCATCAAACATCTTCCCCTGATAGCGGTGCTCATAGTAATCATGGATGCGTTGCCGCATGTCTGCAGGGAGCTTGTGGAAGGACATATACTGTTCCACTTGCTTGTACTGCACAGGGAGAGAGGAAGAAAACGAGTTACCAGGACACGTAACAAATGACACCCGCTCATGGACAAGCACATCCTAGACTGTACCCATATCTGCTTCCTTCGTGCCAAGCCAGGCCCAGGCCGACAAATCTGGTGCAGGAGAGAGCAACTTTCTGAAGACATGGGGAGTTTGCAGACATACTTGTTATATTCCCCAAATAGCTGCCCTGTGTTTAAACTTATACTCAGCCAGTCACACTGTGGAGACAACTCCTCACTCCCTGGGTGCTGAGCAGTCCAGGTGCCTGTTGTCCCCTACACACACTGCAAAAGCTGTGAGGAGAGATGAGTAAGAAGTGCTCAGCTGGGAATCTCCCCTCAACAAATAATGCTGAGCGAAGACTGTCCAAGCCCTGTGCAGAATCAGCTCAAGGAAAGTACAATGTGCCCTCAACAGAGGGTTTTTCCAGGGAACACAGCAGAACAGTGGCCAGGGTGTATGACCCAGCAGCATGGCTCTAGACCAGTAAGTGATGTACAGCACCTCGAGGCCTCAGCCAAGCACAGGAACCCACTGCACCAGGCAGGGGCCGTAGAAAACAGTGGAAGACAGTTGTGACCTGGATGTTCATAGTCACAGACAAACTGAAGGACACACAGAGACAGAAATACGAGTTATTTGGTTGAACCTGTGGCCTGCTTTTCCTCGGCTCTGTGTTCTTGTCTGTCGCGCTGTGATGGCACCTTTGCCTTCCTACCTAGGGCTGCACAGGTCTCAATTTTCTTCACCTTTTGCTGGGTCTCTATTGCCCCATGCACTCGTGCTATCTAACCTCTCCACATTTTTACCTCATGATTTTTACTTCCATCATGTCACTTACAGGGGAATACAAGGACATGCTCTGACTGATGCCAGAGAAGTATCTGGGGATAAATGGTGCTTTCCATGAATAAATGACAATTCCTCAAGGGCACAGGACTATAAATGGTCCACTTGCCTTGAAGGTGCTGCAGGGACAAGGTGTGTGCCTTGCAATGGTCATGCTCCTGCCCACTGGTATGCAGTACAGAATATGATCATGGGCATGTACGATACTAAATAATGCTGACACAAGGACCATGCTCCCCCTTTGCCACCCCTCTTTCCCCTCTTCTCCTCGATACATCTGTCCCTGAATGTCCCTTTACTGCAGCTTGTGCTGAAGAGCCTAATTACTGAACTTCTGCTCATTAAAGACCTCCCCTGCACACACCAGTGTCACTCAGCTCTCAGTACAGTCTGTGCTGCCACTGCCTTGCATGCTAACAACTTGATCTGCACCAGAGAGGAGAAGGAATTACTCTAAGAAGCCAAGGTGGCAGAGGGGACACTCGGGGTTTCCTGGCATTTCCAGAGCTGTAGCTAGCAGCAGAGGGGCTGGATGTAAATATTCATGATCACTACAGCATGATCAAAGTCAAGCAAGTCACCACCTCCCCACGGGGAGTCAGGCAGAGAATTGGCAATGAACGCTGCACTTTATTATTTGGATTGCTGAAGTTCTGTAGAGACTGGCAGGACGCTGTGTCAGGCAGCGCTGTGCTGGGTGCTGCACAGTCTGCAGCTCGCAAATGAGGGAGACAAAGGGAGCAGAAACCAACATCTCACATGTGGACAACCCACTGGTCTCAACCCATCAAGAATATTGCAGGTTATGCTCTTAATTGCACAGAGTTAAGGGCTTGGGTCAGATGCATAAACACTGATGTCTATTGCCACTGCAGACACAGTGCAGCATTTGAGACATCCATGGGACATGGCAAATCAGACAGAGGACACTCATTATGGGAAAGGAAATCAGTAGGCGCTAGCTTTTGCTGACTTGGGTTTATTAAATCATCCTAAATCCACAAACAGTTCTGTTTGTTTTAATGCTGCATTTTGCTGAATAAATTATTTGCCAAAATATCACCTCTCAGTTTTAGCCCAGTGTCTTTAATTGGACCACTGACCAGTGTCATAAGATGCCTCTCAGCACCTGCTGCCAGACACCTGCCCGCTACCCCTCTTTCTCTCCACCATAAGCCCTTGCTGTCAATCTCCAACTGACCTTTGCTTCTTGGGAAAAATACCCCCAGCCTCTCCAATTCACAAACACAGGTTGGATGGGGCAACTCAGACCCTTTACTTATACACTACTGTACCTGGATTTATTGCTCTGTAACAGACAGTAATAAATCACTGCTCTGCAAAGTCCCTAGGGCTTGTCAGATTCTCCTACAATCACTGTCCCTAGAGAAGGCTCAGAGTAAAAACAGGACAAATATACTTTACCAGAAAAAAAGGTTCTGCTTCTGATTACAAATTAAAAACGTGGTTATAAAAGAAAACTGTAAAGTAAGAAACAGTAATTTTCCTTGATGCTGCCCAGCCAGACTGAAGGCCACCACTCTTGCAGTGTCAAGCATCAATAGCAACTAACCAAAAGGTCCCTAAAAACTGTATGAGGAAGAGCCTTTCAAAGCGTAGTGGGATGTACATGTCTCTTCTCAGCCTAAGCTCTAAACAAGATCACTCCTGACGTGATCAGCAACACTCAGTGCTGGGACAAAGCAAAGGGGCAAGGGTGGTGAACATCAACAGCAGAGTGCATGGGTTTTAAAGACTTTGCCTGATAACCCTGAATTTACAGGTCTTCCTTTTTTAACTGTGCCCTGATACCATGCAGATCTGGCACTCTCTAAAGACACTTCATGCCCCCTTGAGTTGGCACCCCCTTGAGTGTCTTTCAGATGTGGCCAGGCCTAACCTGACAGCCCCCTTTTGCCGCCTTTCTGCTTTGTACTTGTCTGTTCAGCCTTCCTACTTGTCGCCACACCCTCAGTCTGACCTGCGCTCAGAGGAAGGCGCAGAGATTAGTGGCCTCTCAGAGTTCAACTAAAAAGACTCATTTAGGAATTATTTAAATCTCTCTGAAGACAATGAGTCCATTTAAATCCTAACTCATTTTCTTAATGCTGTTTTTCCTCAAATAAGCCTTTGAAGTAGGTATTAATATATCAAAAGGGAACCATTTAGCTAAGGATTTTTCCTTCTATAACTGGCCACTTCCCTGAGTTGTCTCAACACTCCCCTCCACTTCTACCAAAGCTCAGATCATTCACAGTCCAAAGGGAACTAAATATTTTTAACTCTTCCATGCCCTCAATCTCTCTCATGAATCCTCCTCTCTATGGCAGTAATAAATCACTGTCTGAAAAGGCTAGACTATTTCCTTGCCCCATGCTGAATATATAAAAGAGCCTGCATCTGAGAAGAGCTGCTCCATCCCAGCCCTGGCACTGACACCTCTTTGAGTCTTGTTTTTGCATCTCAGTTAATTCAAACACACACACCTTCACAGTATGCTAGCCAACATGGGCACGTACACATAACCTACTGTAATGAAGGCACTTGTCTCCCTCTATCCAATGATAAATACACTTTCCTATACACAGCTGTACTGCTTGCATCCTTCCAAAACCAGGCTGCAATCACTGTGGGTCAGAGTTTAATCTCAAACAGTTTCCACATCTGGACTCCATGGAAGTTAACAGAGATGCACTTAAAAAAAATGAGAATCAAGCAGAGTAATGCATTTCCAATTAAGTGAAAAATTATGATGCTCTGACAGGATTGGAATGCTGGTAGTACATATCCTGTGAGACTGGATTAAGGTGCACAGAAGCACCCATGACGTACAATGCTGGGGCTCTCTCGAGCGGATTAGTGCTTCACAGGGGTAAAGATCAAGCCATGAGATTCATCAGATGGACTGTGATGATGGGATGCAGTTGCATCTTTGTCTTATTTTCTCTGACCTATGATTAGGAATAAAACAGTGCAGCTCCCCAGTATTTAGTAATCATCAAAACCAAATAAATGCTGATTCTTTTTTTTTTTTTGTCTTTTAAGCCATTCTTATTCCCATCCTCAGGATCTTTTCTATGACCAGATACATATCTTACACAAAATTATTCAGACACACATTCTCATGGAGTCAAATGACTTCAGGAGTGAGTGGTTTAAGGTCACAAAAGTGAGCTTTTGTAACACAATAAAACCACACTGACACTGCTGGTGCAATCTTTGCTGTTTTCCTTTTCCAGACCTCCATGCTTGATTGTATTAAGCATCAGTACTAGCTTCTATAATTTTGCTTTTTTCTCTTCCTGAAATTTTGTTGAGAACTGTAACTGGTTGTGCTGGTCTTAACTCAGGCTACCACAGTTTATCCTGAGTCTGCCAACACCTGCAAATGCAGTTGGCTCTACATATGTATTCATGCTCATGAGCACCATCCTGATGTTTTCCAACGAGAATAGAGACATTTATAAAATTAAATGTGCACAGGGTTTACAGCTGAGGCTGAAGCTGGAGCTGGGTTCCTTCACAGAGGGAACCAAAGGAAACCCTACATACACTAGTAAGTGGAAAGACAGCTGGGGTGCCTGCATGAAGGGAGTGCTAGAGGGTTGGATCAGTGTGCCAAAGGCAAATTGTAGCAGGTTGTTTAGGTTATCAGTGTCTATTTCAATACCAATTCAACAGGAACAACTCAGACCACATCTAGCCCAGCACCAAACATTATCAGTGCTACTTCTGCTTTCTGATTAATGAGCTAAATTTAAACCCATGTCCATCTACTCTTCAGCTTTGGAAGTTATTCAATAGCTCCTTCCATTCTGCAAAAAAGCTTTACGTAATGCCCTTGATCTGAATTCTTCCAAAGACTGAGTTAATTTTTTACCATGACACCAGCTCAGTTTCCTACAGAAGGATGATTTTTAAATTAAGTTTACATGTTACATGCTGAAAAACATGGAACACTTTTACCCTTACTTCATTAATACCTTCAGAAATTATCTTACCTAGAATCAGGCTCATTACTTCTTGCTGTGTTACAAAGACAACAGACATCAGCAGAAAATTCTTGGAGCATTTTTTCCACTTACTATACAACGTGTTACATTGAGGATGGCTATGATGATCAGCTGGTG